TAGTCTTTATTCCAGAAATGCAAAAATGTTTTAAAATTAGAGTATTTATTAATTTGTTTAATAACATTAAAGGAGAAAGGCCGGGGATCCCTGGGTGGCTCAGTGGTTCGGTGCCTGCCTTTGGCCCAGGGCGCTATCCTGGAGTCCCAGGATCGAGTCCCACGTCGGGCTCCCAGCATGGAGCCTGCTTCTCCCTCTGCCTGTGTCTCTCTCCTCTCTCTCTCTCTCTCTCTCATGAATAAATAAAAATCTTTAAAACAAAAAAATAAAGAAGAAAGGCCATGTGATTATCATAGTGGATGAAAACAAAGCTTTTGTTTTAAAATTTAATGCCTATTTGTAATTTTAAAACTCCTTGAAAACTTCTTCAACTTGACAGACTTATGTCAAAGTCTACACTTAATGGAAAAAATTTACATGCAATTCTATCAGGAAAAGACAAGAATCCCAGCCATAAAGTACTTGTTAACACAATGCTAGAGGCTCTGGCTAAAGCAGTAATAAAGGAAAAATAAATATATTAAATAATGAGAAGGGATAAGAGAACTGCTGTTTTGCTGTTAATTTCTCTTACAGGCTAAGGAAAATCTGGAATAGTCAACAAACTATTAGATAGCAAGAGACTTCACAGAATTTTGCAATTATAATATTAACTTCCAAAATCAATAGCATTTGTCTGCATGAGCAAAGCTCATAGAAAAAAATTTAAAAACCTAAGATTCCACTTGCACTCCTATAAAAACTATGAAATATTTAAGAAGTACACTTTAAATAGTGGGAAGACTCCTCCAATAATGTAACGTTTGAGATGAGATCTGAATGTAGTCAAGCAGATTATCTGAAAAAAGAGCATTCTGGGCCACGGAAACTGTAAGGACAAATGACTTCTTATGTTTGATTTTTCTCTTTCTTTCAACATCAGAATATTTTCTTTTCTGTTAAGTTCAGTCATATTTTAACATTTAAATAGTTTATTCAGGGTAAGAAGAAATCCTCAAATAGTTCTTTTATAGCTTTGGTGTAGAAGCCGTTGTTTTTTTAAGCAAAACTTAGAAGACAAGAAAAGAATGATAACATTTCTAGAAGGACAAACCATCAATAAAAAGAGTAGAAATACAAAAGATAAGTTGAATTAAAAAATATTTTCATTTCTCTTCTTCCCACCCTATACTTCATCTGGCTGACCCGCCCCCCCCCCCCCCCGCCCCGCTTCTTAATACTCAACTCCAGGGTCATTTCCTACAGAAAACCTTCTATGATGTCCACCAAGGGCATCCCTCATTGATGCTTCTACACTTACCATGAGTCATTTAAACTTTTTGAATCTCAACTTCAACTTCTGTACGGTATGATGACATTAATACCAATTCTACAATTTTTACTTTGAGAATTAAATAAGTTGGTACATGTGAGAAATGTGATTATGACTTGAATACTTCTCTCATTTCATTCTGTATCTAAATTCAGTGACAGGCACATGGAAGGCATCATTTTAACAAATGTTTACGGGAGTGGGTTAATCCTATAGGGAATCTTTTGTTAAAAGGCAGGCATCCTAGCTTTATGGTGGGTGGGTGGCTCTCTGTGGAGATAAGAAACCTCAGGCAATCCCTGGGGAAGGCAGACCTCTTGGGCACACTCTGAATGATAGCATGGGAAAACTAACTCCCCCAGGAGTCCATGTGGAGGGGATGTCTATCCCATGCCACATGCTGTGCTATTTATACCAAAAGGAAGTCTTCAGTAGGTGTGAAGTCTACCCCTCCTTCCTGCCCTGCTTCCTGAAGAGAAGGTGACACACAGGGGAACTGAACCTGGTTTTCTTAAGTGCTGAATTTTTCTAGGCATTTCATTTCTGCCCAGATGGAATATGTCTATCCAGGCTGTCCAACAGAGCTCTCTGCACTGATGGGAATGTTCTCTATGTTTGCTGTTAATATAGGGTGGCTATGGAGCACCTGCAATGTGGCTGGTCTGATTAAATAACTGATTTTTAAATTTCACTTAAAATTTAGATTGAACAGTGCAGTATATGTAGCGCATAAAATGTTCTCATCAAATGGTAATTTGAAATGTCAACAAACACATTTGTATAGTATTGGACTGTCCAATTCTTTTCCTGGCTCTAATTGACTCACTCTACACAGAAACCAGAGAAGCTGACCAAGTCCTCGACCCACTTAGAAATTTGTTAATGGGCTTCTATCATTTTCAGGATCAAGTTCTCCATATATGAATTCTGCAGAATCTGTCCTTACCTATTGATGCAGCCACTGCTGCCTTGCCATCTACACCAGACACTATGCTTTGCTTTGTCCATGCTGTTTCTGTTGCTTCAACTCTCCTTTTCCCTTATATGACTGTTTCCTTTGTCCAGCTTATTTCTACTTGCCCTTGAAAAGTTAGATGAGACATTCTCCTCTAGGTTTCTCCTAAATATCCCTTTACCTATCCCCTCTACTCCAGGCTGTGTGCCTCCCCGTGGGCACCCACAATGTCTCATGCTTTCCTCTGTTACAACACTAATCATGCTGGGTTATACTTATAGATTAAATATCTTCTGGACTGTGAGCTCCGAGAAACCATGGACAGTTATATTCATCTCATTAACTTCAATGTGAACATTAATATAAAGAATATTCATTTAGAAAGGAGTCAGTTAGAGGGCAGGGGGAGCTCTCAAGCCCAGCACTCTTTTCAACTGCAGACTGGCAGTGAGGGACCTCTCAGGTGAATACTTTACTATCCCTGCAGGAGGAAGAAAGGCTTTCCTCTAACCTTGGAGGAAATAGTGGAGCCAATGAGAAATGGTCACAACACAGCCAAAGAAAAGACACTATATGTCAGACTCCTAGTTTACTCCAATGGACAGCCTTCCCAACATCTCCCACTTTTCTGTGTAAGAGAGTGTATCTCTCCTTTGCTGTGGGCCTCGCTTAATGAAGCTCCTATATTGTCTTCAGCCCTCAGTATCCCTCCCATACTGAAATTCCTGTGGCTCTCACAGTGTTTGTCAGTCAGTCACTAGGATTGATTTGTGAAACATGTGTATTTTCATCTTGATGGCTGTGTTGACATGGCTTGTGAATTTTTACTCAAATATGAGGGATATTTCTGATGAGCATTTTCATGTAACTTTTTGTATTAGTTCTTGTGGTGCCCACACCTTATTCCTGATTTCAAGGGAGGTGAAAGCGTAGTTCCAGGAGTGTTGCCAGCATCCCACCCCAAGTGCTTTCTAGTCAGTCCCTCTGCTTTTCTGCCTTAAGGCTTTCTTTCAAATCCTAGAAAACCGCTTAGCCCTGGGCAACCATAACCAGGAAATGCGAGAGTTCAAGAGGGAGGGGGTGGGGTGGTGGGTGGTGGTGGTGGTGATAGAGGTTAACTCTGAGACAAAGGGGATGGAGATCAAGAGGTAAATGACCTCGTTTCCTTGTTCTTTGGTGGGGCAATGCTGAGGCACATTCTACATAGTTTTTGGAGGGTCTCTCCGGTGAGCTTAATTAAGCCCAGTCGTCTATTAAAGCAATCAGCTCAATCTCATTTATTTTTCCTGGTTCCCCTCACTTCTGTTTCCTGGGCTTACTTCCCAGACAAATTAGTAGCACCCAAGTCCTGGCCTCAGGCTCTGCTTTGGGGAATACACTTGAAGACACTAGAGCTACACAGGGGCTTCTTTGGAGATGACGCTTTGCTCTAGGAGGTTTATGCTTTAGCGTACTGGACTCTTTGTGGTTTTCGTGCTGACCCCTACACTCCGTCTTGCTTACGCTGCTCCCTCTGCCTGCCACAGTCTTCCGTTCCTTGGCCCGGCGGCACCTATTCACTCTTGAGGACTCAGCTAGGGTACCGGCTCCTCTCACCGCAGAGTTCTACCTCGACGATCCTGCCGCGCTTCAAACACGAGGTAGCCTCTGACCAAAGCCATTATGTCTTTCGTCTTTTGTTTTTGCGTCCACATCCTTTTATTCAGCTAACAATAGGTGCTGAGTGTCCGCTGCTCTCCGGTGGGCTAACTTCCCCGGGTAGGCTGAAGACCAGCCTGGAGGTGGGGTCCCTTTGAGGCACGTAGGCCTGGGAAGAGAAGCGGCCTACCTACAGTGGTACCTGTGAAAAAATGAAGTGCTCACTAAAGCTGGCGGAAGTGCAGGCGTGAACCCCGGAGTCCCTTTTCACCCCACAGATATTTACCGCGCGCTTACCTTGTGCCAAGCACTGTGCCGCGTTACGGAGGACACAGTTGGAGAGACCGACCTCAGGCCGCAGGCAGCCCACCTGACCCCTAAGGGAGGAGGACAGAAGCGAGTAACGTAACGGGGTCAGGCCCGGGATGCACGGGGCCGGGGCCGGGGCCGGGGCCGGGGGAGGAAGGGCGGCTCAGGAGAGGTTGGCTCGGGCTGGCTCCCGGGAGACTGTGGCCGCCCCGCCGGGGAGGGGTGGGAGGGGGCACCAAGTGCACCGAGCGGCGCGGCGGCGAAGAGCCCTTCTCCAGGCTGGCGGCTGTGGGGGGGGGGGGCGAGGAGCGCGGGTTCGGGGTGCGGCGGGCACAGTCACGGGCTCCGGGCGCACTTCCGTCGGAGACATCCACTGACCCGCACCCAGCACCCGGACTGAGGCCGGGCACGCCGCGGGCAGGCGCGTCGGGAAATCCCCAAACCCGTGTCGAGCCCCCCGGATAGAGCGCCGACCGCAGGGAAGCGGCCCCGCCAGGTCCGCGGCCCGCGGAGCCCCCCGCCGGCCCGGCTCCCCGCTGCGGAGCATGCTCAGTGGCCCGGACCGGGGCGGCGGCGGGGGCGCCCGGACCCCGGCGCGCGGGGCTGCGGGGCTGCGGGGCTGCGGGGCTGCGGGGCTGCGGGGCTGCGGGGCTGCGGGGCTGCGGGGGGGGCGGGGCCTCGGACGCACGCGCCCTCCCAGCCCGCCTCGCGCCCGCCGCCCGCACGCGGGCCGCCCGTTGCCCTGGCAACCGCCGCGCCGCGTCTGCCTGAGGGAGCTCCGTCAGCCCGCGGATCCCGTCGCCCGCTCCCACTGCCCCGCGATTTTCGCGTGGGCTTAGAGGCGGAGGGACAACCAAAAATGGCGGAGCGGAGCCAGACGGCGCCTGAGGCAGGTCTGTGGGGGCGGCGGAGCAGGGGGAGCGCTGAGGCAGCTGCGCCGTCCGGGCCGAGCGCGGAGGCCCCTTGGGCTCGGCCCTACTCGCGGGAGGCGCCCCGAGCGTTTGCGCGGTGGGGCCGGGACCTCGGGGTCAGGGGTCAGGGGTCAGGGGCGGCGCGCGCGGCTGTGAGCGGCGGGCGGCGGCGGCGGCGAGGGGTGTGCGCGCGTGTGCGCCCCGGAGTGAGCGTGGGCCGGGGGCGCAGGTGACCGAGTCCCGGAGGGCGCCCTTTGGCCCCGAGGGCGCGGTGGCAGCTGGGCGAGTGGCCCCGTAGTGCGGGCAGCGTTTGCGCCCGGGGAAGCCCCGGAAGTCCACGCGGCGCCTGCGGGTCCCAGGGAGGCTGCAGGCCGGAGGGGACGGCCGCAGCCCGACCCCCGGGGCTCCCCGGACACGCCGGCACCTGGGCGGCGACTGGCGCGCTGCTCCGGAAGGTCCTGCGGAGTCTCCGAGAAGTGGAGGACGAGAGTCCAGGTGCAGGGCAGGCGCTGCGAGGGGAGCCCCAGGCCCCGTTCCTGAGGGGCCGCGTCGGGGCCGGGCCGCGCTGGCGAGCGGTGGCCCCGGGGCCTGACAGGTCACGAACACGCGGCGGCCGCAGCCCCGCGTCTGTGGGAGGGGCTGCGCGCTGAGAACTGACGCCCGAGGCAGGTGGTGACGGTGTGCAGCTCGGCGGCGCCTCGGGGGTGGGGCGCCGCGGGGCGCAGGCCGGGCCGCGGGAGTGACCCCCTCGGATCCTCCAGCCTGGGAGGTGGGGACGGGCAGGGGAGGGGGTATGCGAAGGCCGCCCGCCGCCCGCCGCCCGCCACCCGCCACCCGAACCGGCCGCGGACAGAGCTCCCGCGGTGACTCAAGGGGCTCTTACCTCCCCACACCCGTGTGGCTTCTCTTCCTTGGAGGTCTCTTCCACCAAGTACTTCCCGCGGTTCTTTTCATAGTTTAAGCTCCTTATAATATTTCTTTAGTCCTTCATCCACTCAACAAATATGTATTGAGTGCCAGCTATATGTAAGGCACCAAGTGAACTGCTGGAAACTCCTACTTTGTCGCCCAACACTCAACCCCCCCCCCCCATAGACTCACTGCCTTTACACATATTATGCAGTTTACTTGTTATTTTTGTTGCTTATCACCTATTCTCTAACATTTGAATATAGGCTCCATAAAGGCAAGGTGCTTTGTTGTGTTTAACAGCCCCACATGCCTAGAGCCATACATGGTATACAGTAGGTTATTATTAAATATTTATTAAATAAATAATTGAATGACTTGCTAAAGTCTATGGGTTCAAGGAACATTCTCTGAGAAAGTGATATTTTAGCTAAGATATATTGAATAAATGAAGACCAGGACAAAGAGAGGCCCAGGCAGAGGGAAACCATGTGCAAAGACCCTAAGGTAGGAGGAGACATGATGTGTTTAGGGAACTGAAAGGAGACAAATATGGCTGCATGTAGGGCAATAGGAGGAGAAGAGAAACTGAAATAGATCTTTCAGGCCTTGTATACTAGGATACGAATTTTGGTCAAAAATCTTGGAATAATAAGTCATTGAGGGCTTTTAAAAAAGTAGGAGCATGATATAATTAGAATCATGAAAAATAGAACTGGCTACCATGTGGAAAGTATAGAAGATACAAGAGTGCATACAGGTGGGGGTACCTGAGTGGCTCAGTGGTTAAGCGCCTGCCTTTGGCTCAGGTGGTATTCTCTGGGTCCTGGGATCAAGTTCTGCATTGGGATAACCTGCAGGGAGCCTGCTGCTTCTCCCTCTGCCTGTGTCTCTACCTCTCTCTCTGTGTCTAATAAATAAATAAATAATAAATAAATAAATAAATAAAATCTTTTTAAAAAAGTCAAAAAATAAAAGTGGATGTAGTTGGACCTGTTACAGGGCATCAGTGCAGATGGGGAGAAGGAATTGAGAAATATTTAAAGATAAAGTTGATAGGATTTAATGAAAGGGGATGAAGGAAAAGAAGGTATCATACTCCTAATTTTTGAATTTGTACATCTGGATGGTTGGTAGTGTACTTACGGAGATAAGGAGCATTGGAAGGGATCTTGGCTATGTTTGAGAGGGAAGATCATGAGTTTGTTTTTGGGTGTATGGAGTCTGGGTGTATGGATCTTTTAGCCATCCAGGTTAGTGGAGGGATTGACAAGGCAGTTGAATGTGTAAGAAAAGTCTGAGCTAACACTGAGATAATTATTGAAGTCATAAGTGTGGATGAAATTGCCTAGAGGGAGAATAGAGTGTGGGGAGCAGAAGCTTTGGATTAAGTTTTGAATATCTTCAATAGTTCAGTGCTTTCCAAAGAGGATGAGAAGAATGGTCTTGAACAGATTGAATACTGCCAAATGATATAAAAAGGACGACTGAAAAACTAGATTTAGCGGCAGATTTAGCATTGTTGGTAACATTGATGAGAGAAAATTGATGAATGTAGAAGCCAAACCATTTAACTTCTGAATCACTGTTAATGGGTGGAGCCTTTGTTTCTTTTTTCTTTTTTTTTTTTTTTTTTGAGCCTTTGTTTCTTAATTCAGATTTCCAAGACAGAGAAACTGATTGACATACAACATCTTTACCACCAGGTCATGTAAGATTGCAAGCCAGTATAGGATTGACTGTTTCCGGATTAGATGTCCAGCTATTGCTGGCTGGAGTCACCTGGTACAAAACATGTTAATTTGATGATTTCTCGTCTCAGAGCAACAGCTAACATTTATGGAGTATTTATTATGTGCCAGATAGTGTGTCAAGTGGTTTATATGTTTTAATTTACTCTCAGGATCATAACTGCTTTCTAAAGTATTATTTCTAATATTTGAAGAAGTTTTGACACAGAGAAGTTAAGCCATTTACTTGCTCAATAACTGGAGATAAGTATAAGATTGTAGGATTTTTGGACCTATTTTAACATTATCCAGATTCATTATTTGGCTGTTTGTATTGCAGTGTACTACAGACTGAAGAAATAATAGCCATGATGAAAATTCCTGCCCCACAGGAAGTGTTATTCTAAGGTCAGCATATGTTAGCAAGGTGATGTGGAAAGAAATAGATTCAGATCTTTATTTTTTTTTAAATTTTTAAATTTTTATTTATTTATGATAGTGAGAGAGAGAGAGAGAGAGAGAGAGAGAGAGAGAGAGAGGCAGAGACATAGGCAGAGGGAGAAGCAGGCTCCATGCACCGGGAGCCTGATGTGGGATTCGATCCTGGGTCTCCAGGATCGTGCCCTGGGCCAAAGGCAGGCGCTAAACCGCTGCGCCACCCAGGGTTCCCCAGATCTTTGTTTAAAGCGTGTTTAACTTATTAGATGAAGACCTTGGACTCAAATTTTCTTTTTAAAAGATTTTATTTATTCATGACAGACACACACAGAGAGAGAGAGGCAGAGACACAGGCAGAGGGAGAAGCAGGCTCTGTGCAGGGAACCTGAACATGGGACTCCATACGGGGTCCCCAGGATCACACCCCGGGCTGGAGGCGGCGCTAAACTGCTGGGCCACAGGGGCTGCTCGGACTCAAATTTTCTGATCTAAAGTTCCTTCATCTCTAAAATGGAGATGATATTTATAGCATAATTGTGAACACTAGAGATAATATATCTGAAGTGCCCAATGAATGCTCTTTCCGTAGTTCCTCTGAAGCTTGAATATAGAAAATTAAGATGTATTGTTTAGACTTTAAATATAAAAGCAAACTTTAAACTTACAGTGATGAATTTAAGACCTTATTTTCCCCCCACTGGTATAATTTATTTGCTATTGGAAGGAAGGCAGGCAGTTAAGTTTAGGAAAATGTGGAATTGTTACCTGAACTAATGATACCTAAGTATTATGGGATATATCTCTATGTGAGGTGGATTTTGAGGAGTTTCTTAAAGGTATGAAGGGACTTTTTTTTTCGAAGCATGCAGATAGCTCTGTAAGACGGTCAGGTTTGTAAAAGGAAGTTTCTTTTAAATGTACTTTAAAATGACAGGAGAAAAAAAATGAGGACAAGAATATAGAATTTTTCTTCTCCAATTTGACTATGAGTAATAATAAAAAAGAAAGCTTATAGTTAATTAAATGTAGGAGTATTAGTCTCAGGCTAGATTGCACCTGCTTCAATTTCTCAGATTCTTCTTCTTTCCAACTATCCTAAAAGAAAGCTTTTGTTTGAATTACCTGGTAAAATTGCTTTCCTATATTGCCAAGTTTGTTCTTTTTGTGGAGGCCCATACTGACCAGAAATTTTTAGAATGATGCAATCATTCTAAAAGTTTTTTTTTTTTAAAGATTTATTTATTTATTTATGATAGAGAGAGAGGCCGAGACACAGGGAGAGGGAGAAGCAGGCTCCATGCTGGGAGCCCGATGTGGGACTCCAGGATCGCACCCTGGGCCAAAGGCAGATGCTAAACTGCTGTGCCACCCAGTGATCCCTAAAAGTTTTTTTAATTAAAAAGTAATTTTATGGTATCTGAAATCATCTATAGACAGAATCTTGACATTTTAAGAAGCTTTAGGAATAAGAATATGTTCTCTTTTGTTAGTAGATGGGCAAAATAGTTAAGTCTGTAAATAGGGAATAATAACATACTTTTCAGGTAGGAATTAGAGATAGATTTGAAAAGTGCATAATGTTTTATACCCTCCTAACCCCACCCCCCAAAATGGTAGCTTAATTTGTATATACAGGTATGCTCTTGTGTGTCTTTTCCTGAAGGCTTACTAGTAAAATCACCTTTTAAAGAAGGGGAAATCCAGGTCTACAATCCATTATTTGAAGTTTTGGATGAAAATATATTTCAGAATTTAGATTTTTTTTTTTGATTGTGGAAAAGTAATACAGCATATGTACTGTTGATTACATATCTCCATGGAGTATGTGGTAGTACCCTGTAATTAAACACATTAATACCACATTTGTGCTAAATGAATAAAAATTATAAATAGCTCATGTCAATT